AGTCCTTGTAGGATAGGGAGACACAGGACAGATACACACACATGCTGACTACAGACGAGCCAGGAGAAAACAGAAGTAGAGGATTCAAATCTGGGTTCAATCTTGGTAAAGTAAAAGGAAGCGTGTGTTTACATTCCTTGATGTACTTACTATCAATACAGATTACATAGTAAGACTATCAAGAATGGGGGAGGGGGATACACCCCTGCCTCCCAGGTACATTCTAGATTCTGGCTACCAGAGGGCAAAAATGGAAACCACTGTCCTATAATTTCAAAAACTCCCAGAGATGATGGATAAATTTCAAAATCTATTTACTCAAAGCTGGGGAAAGGACAGGTTTTGTGAACTAGGCTTTCTAAAAGCAGCCTTTAACAAAACATGCTGTTGTCAGTGGGCTCAGCATTTGGCACTCTACCAGAAGACCTGAAGTTGGTTCCCAGCACCCACAGCAACGTTCTCAACACTGTCTACAACTGCAGCTCCAGGGAATCAGATACCTTCTTTTGGCTTCCATGAGTTTCCTACACTCTCATGTGCATACTCACAGAGACACATAATCAAAACCTAATCCTGGGGCTGTGGAGAAGGATCAGTAGTCACAGTACTCTAAAGGATTCTATTCTATTCCTAGCATCCACATGGCAGTTTACAGCCACCTGTAACTCTAAACTCCAGTTCAGGGGAACCAACATCCTCTTTCTGGCTTCCAAAGGCACTCGCTAGACATGCATAGTACAAACATACATGTGCATAGACATTACATGTAGGCAAAATATCCATACAGTTTATTTTAAACCCTCTGTCGCCTAAAAGTGTACACCTAATGAACGACATTAGTTTTACAATTATATGTAATATATATTTTTAAATCAAGAATGGGAACTGGAGAGAGCGCTAAGCAGTTAAGAGCATTGGCCTCTCTTCCAGAAAAAAACAGAACTGAATTCTTAGCAACCATTAGCCAATTGTCTGTAACTCCAATTCCAGGGGATCTTGCCACTTTTGACCTCTGAAGGCACTGTAAACACAGTGCACAAGCATCCATGCAGGCAACACTCACACACATGACTTTTACATGTGTACACTGCACATGGGAAAACAGGCACACAAATGTAAAATGATTTTTTGTTTTGTTTTGTTGTTTTTTTTTTTTTTTTTTTTTNTTTTTTTTTTTTTTTTTTTTTTTTTTTTTTTTTTGCCTGTTTCTTTTTTGAGATAGGTTTCTCTGGAACTAGATGTCCTGGAACTCATTTTGTAGACCAGGCTGGCCTCGAACTCAGAGATCTGCCTGCCTCTGCCAGAATTAAGTGTGAACCACCACCACCAGCTGATTTTTTTTTTTTAAAAGAAAAGCTTTTAGGCCGGGCGATGGTGGCGCACGCCTTTAATCCCAGCACTCGGGAGGCAGAGGCAGGCGGATCTCTGTGAGTTCGAGACCAGCCTGGTCTACAGAGCTAGTTCCAGGACAGGCTCCAAAGCCACAGAGAAACCCTGTCTCGAAAAACCAAAAAAAAAAAAAAAAAAAAAAAGCTTTTAGAAAGGTATTTCAACACGCCACAGCAATTCTTCCCCATGCTAAACAGGGTCTCATACATCAGTGTCTTCAAACTCTATATAGCTGAGGTTGAGATTATGATTTATTCTGTGCTAGCAGAGAGATGAAATCCAAGTACTGATGGTGCATACTAGGGCGAGCAATCCAAGGACTGTGCCCTCCCATCTCCAGGGCACATGCAAGTAATTCATGCAGCAAGTCAGGTATAGTGTTAGTGCTTATAATCATGGAGCTTGGGACCTTGCAGTGGCTACTGGAAGTTCAGTCTAATAAACAGTGAGGCTTTGTTTCCTCAACTCCCAACAAGGCAGAAAGACCAAACTACAAACACAAAAATTCTAACAGAAGAATCTGAGACTATATTCTGGAAGAGGGCTGGGGAATGCTGCTTGGGCACACCATGCACAGATCTCGGGATTCTACCCACAATACAGTTAAAAAACAAGGCTGGCAGTCAGGCAGTAATGGCACACACCTTTAATCCCAGCCTGGTCTACAGAACTAGTTCTAGGACAGTCAAGGTTACATAAAGAAACCACCTCAACCCAGCCCCCTCAAAAGGGCTGAGAGTCAGACAGGGATCTGAGTTGAGAGCTGTGTGGGCTATACTGTATGTGTAGACCAGGGTGTGCATATGCTCTACATATATAATGAGACCAACTCAAAAACAAAACACAACAAGGGGAGGGAAACAGTGCATGCATGGAGATCATCCCAGAACTTGCAGGGAGGGGAAGACAGAAGAACACAAGACTCTCTCTTTACCATCACCAACCCCAAAAAGAAGTCCTGGAAGAGAGAAGAGAGGCTACTCCTTAAAGGCCACACACAAATATAATGAATAAAAACTAGAGCTGTTGCCAAGAGGATCTTGCACTGGACCTCGAACCTGAGCACCTGGAAGGACCCTACAAGTAAAGAACGTTGGTGAATGTGGCCAGATTGTTACACGTTGCTATTGAAATCTGCCCTTAATGCCTACAATGCAAGCCACTCCGTATTACTGTTTGTTATATATCCTATCAGTGACTCAGCTCAGAATTGACCCTAAAATTTGTGTAAAACAAACAAACAAACAAAAACAAAACAAAAAAAAGTGGAGAATATTCCTTCACTGAATTGACTAGGTTGAGGGGCACAAAAGAAAATGAGTGGGGGGAAAATTTTACAGAACTCAGGCAGGAACCTCCTATGCAAGGATTCTGCACATTCTCAGTCAGCTTCTGAGGATGCCCCTGTACAAAAACTGAGCATACCCCCCACAAGCTTTCAGTCAGATTTTCTAAGACCAAACACTAAAGTGAGACCTTTCTTTTCAAGGTGGCAAAGGGGCCTTTTCATTTCACAGGTCACTGCTAAATACCACCACGACCACACAGCAATTCAAAGCCCTCCCCAAGTAGCATCCACACTGGGGATAACTCTCTGGTAACTAATCTATTTTTAACAAGTTGCTTGTGTGTCAGCACAGTAAGTGATGGAGGAACAGACCAACAGCTACCAAGTGCAAGTATCAAGCACTGGTCCGTATGCCCTACTCCTCCATTACCCATCTTCAGGCTCTAGGACAGCTAAATCACTTCTGCTGCTTCAAGTACATCTCAGTGTATTCACACATATGCAAATACAAAATTGAGGCCAAGTACTTGCTGTCTCCTCACTCCTTTCCATTCCCATATCCTTAGGCAAGGCCAGAGCTTCTCTTCTGTCTCATCCTGTGCAAGGTACCTTAATGTCAGGCTTTCTGGTCACAAACTATTTGGGAAGCAAAGCAATAGGTACTCACTGTCTTCAGGTTTGCAGTGTTTGCATACCCACCCTATCCAAAGGCAATGGAGTCAAAAATCAGCTCATTCCCAACATATAGTCAAGTGCACTCGATCCTCTGCCATCTTTAGATCATTCCCTTTAAGCATGCACTTTGAGATAAAACTTTTCTTCTCTGCTATGAAAGTTTGTAAAATGACTGTTCCTTATTCCAGACAGTGTCCAGAGTCCTTACAGTCCCAGAAGAAATTTTTGCAACAATTAGAATCTATACACTTCTTAAATGATAGGATGGGGGCTTAAATACAAGTTTGGTTCAATATCACTTAACTTTTAACTAGAACTGTCATAACCAAAAGTTATTTTTACAGACTGAAAAATGAGAAGCTTGCTGCTGTTGGCTCTTTAATCATGTCCTGATGTTTCATGTGCACTGCCCTGAAGTGATAGTCTGTAAGCTACATCCTAGAAAACTACAACAGTTTTCAATGAAAACCTCTGGACCGGTTCCTTTCCTCCCACAAACTGCTACACTAAGATCTGTAATAGCAAGGCATGATGGAGCATGCCTATAATCCCAGCATGTAGGGTGAAGGCAGGAAGATCGAGTTCAAGACTAGTCTGAGCTGCTTAGAAGATATTTCAAAAAGACAAGATGAGGGATATCAGTGGTACCTGCCTATCTACCCAGCCCTGGACTGAATCCCCAAAACGAACCCCCCAACAAATTACAAAACTGTTTCTCATTATTTATAGACCTTTCCATATAATCTCTGACCCCCACCCTCACCACACTAAATTGTTGGTAATTATTTACATACAGTCTTTATACACGCTGAGGACAGGTCTCTATGTAACTTCCACTCAGAATCCATCATGATTGAAGGAAGCACAAAAGTGATACTAGAAGCCCAGGCACAAAAATCACACAGACACAAGAAGGCTGCAGACCCCGCTCATGAAAGAATGCACCAAACACATTCGCATTTATTTTCTTTTTTTTTTTTAAGCAAATGACAAAGACCCAAATTACCAGTTTTTCTTAAACCTAAGCTTAACATTACATACTTAAACAATTTTCAGAACTGACGAATTTGCCAGCATCCATGCACAACTAGAAAACATCCTTAATTTACACTAAACCAGAAATGTATTACCATTGATGCAGTAATAGCGTTCATTACTAAATACTGAAAATAAAGTTGAAATATTTCTGCAGAAGGTTCATCTGGCAACGTTAGCTTCACAGCAGGCTGACACTACTCACTCACAGTTCAACACAATGGGAAGCAGATCCATGCTGGTGTCAGAGAACAATCTCGTCCTAGCACTACTCAAGAGTCACAGGGCTCACCTCGGATTAGGGTTTGTTTTGTTTTGTTTAAAGCAAAGTGCATACAGAGGTTACAACAATTTTAAAGACAAAAAAAAAAAAAAATGGTCCTATTTTGTGGTCCCAACAACAAACTCAAAAGTCTATGACAAATAGGGGCTCCGATGAGCTGTTTTATAAATACTTTAGATTAGGTACAGTTATACAGAAAGTTGAGTTCGTTTGAAATCTTCAAAAAAAAAGTTCCTGTTATTCCTCAAATGGTGCTTGTTATGGTTTAACATTTCTGTTAAATGCGTGCGTTGAATTACTTGTTATCCAAGCGTAGCAGGTGCTCCTTACCATTTATTGTCAAGGACTTTAACTGCCCGTCTTCTTCAACTTCCACTCTTTCTTGACCATTCTCCACAATTCTGTAAGAAATGATTCATATAGAAACCTCTGTTCAATTGGAATGCACAAAGAGTTTGCTTAGTAAACTTACGGCCCTAGGCTCAGTCCTTACAAACACAAAAAAAAAGTTTTTATAATATTCTAGTTCTTTTGCCAGACGGTGGTGGCACACACCTTTAAATCCTAGCACTCGGAAGGCAGAGACAGGTGAATCTCTGTAAGTGCGAGGCCACCCTGGTTGGTCTATAGAGGGAGTTCCAGGACAGTTTCCAAAGCTACAGAGAAACCTGTCGGAGAAGGGCGGAGCAGGGGAAGAGGATGTTTCAGTTCTTTTTCAAAATCCATGTTCTTTCAAAACTAAGTTTGGACTCTATAAATACAGATGTCACTAACCACAAAGAGTAGCGCTGGGCTGGGTGTGGCTAAGCAGCAGAGCTCCTGGACCCTGGTTCCAGCCCTACTCCATTAGGGTTTTCCTATTCGGGCAGAAACATTGCACCACTGGCAATGCCAGGGAAGCTTGTCACACAGGATCAGGGTGGCATGCCTAAAAGTCAACATTAAACAAATAGTGAAAGCAAAAGGCTCTAAAGCTTTAGCTGATTTAGAAATTCAGCTCTGGGAGATATGCAGAGCAAGCACATGAAACACTGTGCTACTCCAATAACTAAGAACAAATACTAAGCTTCAAGTCATGACTATAGCCAGCCCATTGCCAGGCAGACAGCAGGATTAAGGAGTTCAAGGTCATCAAGGTCTACCAAGTCTCAAAAACTGGAAAAAGAAAAAAAAAATAAGTGGAAAAATAATAAGGGCTAGAGATATAGCTTCAGTTTGTAGGACAGCTTCCCTCTGTGGGCAAGATTCTGCATTTTAAGAATAGTGGTGTCGCAAACCTCCAGCCACAGTATTGCAACCAAAAACTTCAAGATCTTGACTGAGCATTTAATGCACTGGGGGAAGATCTGAATGAGTTTCTGGTCTAGGTGACATCACTACCTCAAAAGTAAACAGATTCATTAATAAATACCTCTTTGTGGTGATTTTTTTGCCATTAACTATCTTAGTAGAAGTTGATATTGATTTGAAGTTGCCCATTCCGCTGCCACCAAATGATGCTGAAGAGAATGAAGTGAGACCCCCGTGTCCTAGTGACCCGAACGAGCTGAATCCTACGGAGAAACAAAATACAGTTAAAGACAGCATATGTCAAGTATTCATGCAAAAATTACTAAGTTCAAAACTTATTAAGCCTCAAAGAAGGCCAGTAAGATGGCTTGGTGGGCCAAGGAACTAGTCGTCCTGAGTTTGATCCCCTACCGCCACGGTAGGAGCCTGAATGCTCTCCCCATCTCTATGCATACCACATGCCCCCACAAGTGCCCACACATTCCACAAAGGGGCAGGGTTCAAGACAGGGTTTCTGTGTAGCCCTGGTTGTCCTGGAACTCACTCTGTATACCAGGCTACATCAAACTCAGAGTTATCCACCTGCCTCTGCCTCTGCCTCCTGAGTGTGCCATCACCACCTGCTTAGAACTTTTCTCGTTTCCCAGATGTTCACACCATACAGCTCGCATTCCTAGGCATGTCTCAATCATCTAAGCTCTAAGACTGGTAGTGCCCACAGGAAATGAGCATCAAAATAAAGAAATTAAGTTTTGTTTACTTTTTGTTTTGGGGGGTTTTTTGTTTATTTTCCAATATTATTATTACTAATGATTTTTTTAGAGCAGTGATTTTCAGCCTTTCTAATCTTGCAACCCTTTAATACAGCTCCTTATGTTGTGGTAACCCTAACCATAAAATTATAATCATTACTACTACATAACTATAAATTTGCTGCTGTTACAAATAAGAATGTAAATATGTGTGTTCTGTGATGGGCTTAGGTGACCCTGCAAAAGGGTTGTTTGACAAGCTCAAGGGGTCACAAGTCACAGGTTAAGAACCACTCTAAGGGGCTTTGTTAGTAGATAAGTTTGCCATTAAAACCTGATGACCTGCCGGGTGGTGGTGGCGCACGCCTTTAATCCCAGCACTCTGGAGGCAGAGGCAGGCGGATCTCTGTGAGTTCAAGGCCAGCCTGGTCTATAAGAGCTAGTTCCAGGACAGGAACAAAAAAGCTACAGAGAAACCGTCTCGAAAATCAAAAATTAAATAAATAAATAAATAAATAAATAAATAAATAGCAGAAATCCTGAAAACCTGATGACCGAACCAGGCAGTGATGGCATGCACCTTTAGTGCCAGCACTTGGGAGGCAGAGAGAGGCAGGCGGATCAAGGCCAGCCTGGTCAACGGAGCTAGTTCCAGGATAGCTAGAGCTGTTACACAGAGAAACCCTACCTTGAAAAACAAAACATAAACCTGATGACTTCAGTTTCATACTGAGAACTCATGTGGAAGGAGATCTCCCCCTGGTCTCCAAACAAACCCAAACGGCGTGCATTTGCCCAAATACTCATGTAAAACAATAGAACTTTTTTCCAAGATGGGAATAATGCCCTTTGTTTTCTTATATACAGACTTTGAAAAACCAGCGTGTACTTCACAGTTGGGGCAAAACCTTTTAAGCACCTTAATGCTGAGGAAACTACATGCCCCACAGTCCCACAATGGTAGCCATGGCTCTTCTTATGTTGAGACAAGGTGTCATTACAAACCCCAGCCTGACCCTGTAGAAATCTTCCTCAGCTGGCATCCAGAGTCATACATAGGATTACAGGCATTACTGTTTACACACCCGCCCTCTGGACAGGAAATGAGACCCACTTACCCAGTCCCCTACAAACTAAAAACTGTGCTAGCTAAAAGACTTGTTCAGACTCAATAATATAGGGCTTTAATACCTGTGTCAAAAGCAGGAAATCCACCTCCAAAAGAAGGAAATCCACTGAAGGCAGAGAAAAACGAGCCTGTACCTCGGCTTCTATTTCCTCGGGAAGCCCTTCGGCTCCCAAAAAAGTCATCAAATGTGTCTTCTAAGAAACAAATGAAAATTTGTGTTATAAAAATAATTTCAAGTTTATTTTTTCCTTAGGAGAAGAAAAATAGGTTAATGTCTTGATATACATTAGTCCATTAGGAACAAATATCTTAATAAGAGAACAACTCTAAGCTGGTCTGGAGCACATGCCCAACACTTCCACTGCTTGTCATTCAAAAAAAACCAATGCCACAAAGCAAATGACCAGACTCATAATGAGAACAATGTAACCATAAACACCTGGCTCTTTATCGAGCCTTCAGAAGGCCATTCAACAAAGTTTTTTTGCTCAACATACAATTAGGTTCCTCAGAAAATATTGTCTCAAATCTGATGTGTGCTTTTTAAATTATTTTCTGTACACACGTCTTTATATCTGTTGGGTGCATGTGCAGAGGCCTGAAGCATCCTGTCACCATGGAGTTGGAGTTAAAAAGACAGTTGTGAGATACCTGACTTGAGTTCTGAAACCGATCTTTTGCAAGGAAAGAGCCATCTATCTCTCAAGCCTCCAACCTTAGATACTTGTCCAGATAGCCAGAGATGCTTTCTCCAAAATAATTTCGAGTGGTCCACACCTTTAGTCCTGAGACACACATCTCTGAATCCCAGGCAAACCTGGTCTACAAAAGCTCCAATAGAGCAGCAACAGGTGGATGTTAATTGCTGGTAAGCCTGATGAAGCGGTCCCAAAAATTCCTTTCTCATTTCTGTTCAATGTGACGGCTCAGAAATTTTTACAAAATAAGGCTGGAGCGCTGACTCAGAGGTTAAAGGCATCTGGTGTTCTTACAGGTTCAGTTCCTAGTACCTACATGGAACAGAGGTGGACAACCATCTCAACTCCAGTTCCAGGAGATACTGACACCGCCTCCTGGCCTCCAGGGGCAGTACCCATGTGATACACAACACAGGCAGGTAAGACACTCATAGGAACACACAAGAATCTTAAATTTCTCTAAGACCAGTAGAATCTTGAAATACTCTGCCTGTGACAAATGGCCATCCCTAACTGAAAACACGATGACAGTCCTGAAAAGGACAGGCCTAAACAGCCAGGCAGGTGGCCAGCACTCGGGAGGCAGAGGCAGAGGCAGAGGCAGGAGGATCTGGGTTCGAAGCAGCTAGCCTTGTCTAGTTCCAAGCCGGCCACGGCTAGAGAAACAGGGTGGGGGAGGAGCACCAATCAATGACTCAGCAATAATACTCTACATCTAACATGTATCAGCACTACAATCTAAAGTCAGCAGCAAGTTCAGTTTTTTTTTATTATGGCAACAAACAACATAGTATTTATAGTTAATACCTTATTTTTTGGTTGTGAGCCTAGCCATCTCTGTAGCCCAGTTTTTTAATCTTACCTTAGTGCTTTTATTTCCCCTAGGAGAAGTGGGAAATCTGTGAAAAATCATACACTACATACTTTCAAATGCAACTGCATGCAGAAAGAGTCATAGACGTATAAATGACAAGAGAACAAAACAAGAACTGGATGCCGGGTGATGGTGGCGCACACCTTTAATCCCAGCACTCGGGAGGCAGAGGCAGGCGGATCTCTGTGAGTTCGAGACCAGCCTGGTCTACAGCGCTAGTTCCAGGACAGGCTCCAAAGCCACAGAGAAACCCTGTCTCGAAAAACCAAAAAAATTAAAAATAAAATAAATAAATAAATAACGAGAACTGGGTTTGCCTGCAGTCAGATGAACACCAGTGAGTCCTGGTTCCTGACAGGGTCTATAACAAGCCATTCCTCCAAAAAGAAGATCAGGATTAGAACACAGGAACGAGAGCAAAGGCTTGGGGTACTCCAGAAAGCCGGGCAAGCACACTGATCAGAGGCACAAGCTGGTCAAGGTTATTCTGAATAAGACTGGCCAGGCAGCTCTTAAGCTGGTCAAGTTTTATTTAACAAATAAAGCTTGCCTGAAGATCAGAGTGCCGAGCTAGCCACAGTAGTCAGCCATAGTGGTGGCACACTTTTAGATGGATTGAATATGTCTAAAAGAAAAACAGAACCAAGTGGTGATGGCTCACACCTTTAGTCCCAGCACTAGGGAGGTGGTAATGGGAAGTGATATGTATGGCTGGGCAGAGAAAGGAATACGGCAGGAGGATTCAATCGTAGGTTTCAGACACCATTCTGTCTGAGGATTCAGTAGAGGTAAAAGGTTTCTATACTGGCTGGCTCCTTCTCTGATCTTTCAGCACTGACCGGGATATCTGACTCCGGGTTTTTACTATTAAGACCAATTAGAATTTAACTCTACACAGCTCTGCCTAAAGCTGAGTTCAAGAAAAACAGGACTCAATGGTCCAGGTCAGCTAGCTTCTTCCAAGGTCTGACATGGTTGGATTAAAGGAACGTCTTGTGTCCACCAACAGGAACTGCTCTGCCCCAGCCTCAAGGCAGGGAGGTTTAATACATGGTAAACAAACAGAGTAAAGGGCTGTCTGAACTGTGATGCAGGATGCCTTTTTTTTCTTTTCCGGAGACAGGGCTTCTCTGTAGATTTGGAGCCTGTCCTAGAACTAGTTCTTGTAGACTAGGCTGGCTCCTGAAACTCATGGAGCTCTGCCTGCCTCTACCTCCTGAGTGCTGGGATTAAAGGTGTATGCCACCACCTGGCAAGACCCTGTATTTAAAAAAAAAAAAAAAAAAAAAAACTAAAATATCTGGACTGGAGCTTAGTACAAAGCCTTAGAGGTCCCTGCCCACCAACTGTGAACCCAGCACTTGGAAGAGGCAGGGGGACCAGATGCTCAGGCATTGGCAACATAGCTAAGTTTGAAACCAGCCTAGGGCTCTGATATCCTGGACTGTCACCACAATTAAAAGCATAATTAAAATAATTAAATAAAATTAAAATAAAATAAATAAATAAAACAATTATGTGATAATTCACAAGCTGGGGTCAACCCACTTCATTAGCAAGAAAAATTCTCTACAGCCCATCTAAAACTAACCAAGTTTTTGTCTTAATTCTGTGTACACAATGTGTCCATGGATGTAGCAAGTCATCAGGCTTGCACAGCAAGTGTTTTTATTAGATTAGCTAAGGACCTTATGCCTGCTCCAATGTCTTTATTTTGAAAATGCTTAAGTTTTATTTTGTTATTGTTTTTATAAGGATACAAAACAATATAAAAGGACCCATTTATACTAAACTCAAGAATTGTAACCTGCAATTTCTCCTTAATTACTGTTCTGAATTAATTACTGTTCTGGATTATCTGGGGTCCGCAGTGTAGCTCAGTTGTGGGGCACTTGCTTAACATATGTTAGGTGGGGCTGGAGAGATGGCTCAGAGCACCGATTGTTCTTACAGAGTTCCTGAGTTCAATTCCCAGCAACCACAACCATTTGTAATGAGACCTGGTGCCCTCTTCAGGCATGCAAGTATACATGCAGACAGAACATTGTATACATAGTAAATAAATAAAATCCGTTAAAATATATGTATTCTCTGGTAACTAACACTCAGGAAGCTGATGAGATCACAAGCTAGAAGCCAGCTGGGGCTGGAACATAACAAGACCCTGTCTCAAAGAATGAAAAAAGAGGACTGCTAAGATACCTCAGTGGATAAATACTGCCTCTATTCTTGGAACTGTCCTAGAGAAAACTGCAAAATGTCCTGACCTCCAACAGCCCCCCCCCCGACACACTTTAATATAACAATACTTTTTGAGAGGGGCTGAAAATAGTTCAGCTGGTTAGAGCACGGACTGCTCTTCCAGAGTACCCAGGGAGTTCAGTCCCCTCACATACATGTGCTGGCTCAACCATTCACATCTTGGGGGTCAGACTCCCCTCCTCTTCTGGCCTCTTCAAGCACCAGGTATGCACCCATCTACATGCAGGCAACACCCATACACATAAAATTTTAAAAAGGTTTTAAGGAGAAACTTTGTGGGTCCTGCTTTCTGACACTGAAGAAACCTGCACTCCAGAATGACTAACAAAACATCTCTAAGTGGAAGGGGAAAACCACACACCACACTGAGTAGTATAAAAGGTAACAAAAAACCTAAAGGAAGTAAATGTGTTAGACTGCTGAAACATTTTAAATTTTAAGGGGCTGCTAGCTTCAAATTTAATGCTGGTGTGAACTCCCAATGGAAAAGCCCAGGAGCAAAATCATGTATGTACTCAATCAACACAGCTCCACTGCAGGGAGAATGTACCAGTGTCTCACAGGCCAAACACTCCATCCCTGTGCTTCCACAGCTACACCCAAATACAAAAGCCGACAAGAATCAAGGGGGAAAACAAACAAAAAAAGCATACAATACACCATGGCATTCCTTCCTTTCTAACAAAACTGTGTTACTTTAAAAGTAAATAAATTCATTCGGGAAGCAGAGGCAAGCGGATCTCTGTGAGTTCGAGGTCAGCCTGGTCTAGAAAAAGCTGGTTCCAGGACAGGAACCAAAAGCTATGGAGAAACCCTGTCTCGAAAATTAAAAAAATAAATAAATAAATAAAGGCAAATAATTACCAATTCTACACAGGTGCCCAGGTTTAAAATCTCAGCACTTGAGAGGTAGGGCTTCCAAGGCCAGCCTGGGCCATTCCCAGTGAGCTACCTCACCCCAAACTGCTAAGCAGGTGCACATGCGCCTAATCCTAGGGATAAGCAGGCAAAAGGACAGCTATAAATTCTCAGCTAGCCAGGGTCAAATAGTGAAACCAGTTCTCAAGCAAAGACAAAGGAAAACTACAGGCCAGGAAAGATGACTCAGCACTTAAGAAACCAGCTGCTTTTCCAGAGGACCTGGGTTAGATTCACAGCACCTGTCTGTAACTTCAGTTCCAAGCGACTTGATTCCCTCACACAGGCATACATGCAGACAGAACACCAGTGCGCATAAAATAAAAATAAATTTAAGAAGAGAAAAAGATACCCAAGAGAGGCCTTATCATACAACAAAAATATATGCTCTACTATGTTCATAGCAGCATTGTTTGTAATAGCCAGAACCTGGAAACAACCT